TGTTGAATGAGAAATGGGAGGAAGCATATCTATATATAAGCGCAATCATTTATTTATGTATTTATCTCTTGCGTATAGGGCCTGGATAATGCTCAAGTGGCCCAACCGTTATTGGCTGACACTATGATCAACACGCTTTCAGTCGTACACAACATGACTCCCAATAAAATATACATACACAAAGGTGAATGTATATCAGTAAATAAAAGAAGTAAAAAAAATACGCCACGGAGTGCTTTGCACAGAGAAAGTAAGACGGTTAAACATTCAAATAGTCTCCTCTTGCGCATCACTTGCAAGGCCCCGTAACTCAGAGGTACCGCCTCCGACTCGGAGACCGACGGCCGTGAGTTCGATCCTCGCGAAGCCAAGCGTGAGAGGTTCACGCGCAGGCGCCGTTGGCAACATTTTTCTTTTTGCTTTCTTTCATCGAATCTTCATCTTCCCCTGTATTTTCATTAGTACTTTAAATCTAAAATTACCGAGTTTGCAAATGAAAGGGAATCTTCGCAAAACTGCCTATTAGATTGATGATTTTTATCAATTTCTACCCATAATGATTTTCTCAGCATTGCTTTAACCATTATCACTGCCATTAAATTCTACTCCCCAACATGATGACCAGTACCATAATAATCGTGTTAGTAAGTGACTAGGCTTATTTAAGAGTATTTAGGGATTTTCAGCTTTCTTGAAACTAATTCAAATCATTATCTATTGTCCTTTCTTCGCCGAGGACTCGTGCTCTTTCACTCGATTCATTTACTAACGGAGTGAATAAAAACATCCACCGAACAGGCCAACCATCATTATAGCAACTTATTCAATCTGCAATCCAGTGGCATCTTGCGGCCAGCTCCGCGGGTCTTGTCTGCCTGCCTCTGGGCGCAGTTGCGCAACACCGCGTCTCTAATACAGCGCTTGATATGAGCACAGGCAAGAATAGAGAGTATTTTTCAGGTGTTGAATGAGAAATGGGAGGAAGCATGTCTATATATAAGCATAATTATTTATTTGTGTATTCATTTTTTGCGTGTAGGCCCTGCATTGAACCACTTAAAGCTTTTAATATATATAGGCCTATATATATGTATGTGTGTGTGAGTGTGAGTGTGAGTGTGAGTGTGTGTGTGTGTGTGTGTGCGTGCGTGCGTGCGTGCGTGCGTGCGCGTGTGTACGTGCACACACATATATATATATTAGAGGCCCTCCATGTAACCGTTGAGTGCTGAAGTGGCCCAAGATCTCGAAGAAGTTGGACCGACAAATCTACAGTTTCGAAAACGTAAACCTGGGAAGCCTTTGTTGGCCCTCAAGATGGTCGACGAAATCAAAATTGGTCTTCCAAAGGGAATGATGTTAGCACCCCTGGTCTACACGCTTACAGCCGTACACACCGTGGCACCCAAACATACATACACCCAACGGCTGAGAGAAAGGGATGAAATATATAGTCGATATTCCTAACTACCACTATCATCATCTTCATCTTCATCATCATTATAGTATTAATCATATTTATTATTATAATTATAATCAAAATTATAATTACAAATGTAATCATCATCATTATCACCTTCACCTTCATTGCTAATACTGTCATTATGTTACTGCATATTGCCCCAATCACTATTATTATCATTATCAAACACCAGCATTATCATTGACAGTGATATCCTTAATATTTTTTTATCTGAATCATCGCCATCACTATTTATTATTATCATTATTTAGGCTGATAATAATGAGACGAAGAAATAACTTTGAACACGGAAAGCAGAGACGGAAAAGATGCAGAAAAAGAAAGCGAAGAGGAAAAAGAAGAAAGGGATCAGGAGTAAAAGTAGTTGAAGAAATGAAATTGAAAAGGAGCAATAAAAAGAATGAGAAAGAAGAAGGAGTAGAGGAAGAGGCGAGAAGAGGACTTACATAGTACGAGAGACAGAAATGCCAAGAAGGAGAGAGATATAAAAAAAACAAGAAAGCAAGAAAATAGCAAGAAAGAGAAAGAAGGAGGGGGGGGAGACAGAGAGAGGGAGAGACGGATAGAGGAGAGAGACCGAGACAAATAGGCAGAGAGAGAGAGAGATGGGAGGAGAGTTACAAGAGGAAGAAAAGGAGCTGCATGGTCTACTAATTGTTAATCTATGTAGCCAAATCAGAAATTATATATTGATATTCCGTTCTTTTTTTATATTATTAACAGATGAAACCAATCACAGCAAGTCTGTCGATAGAAAAACACATGAAAGAAATTACACAGCGCAGTGCTTTACACAGAGAAAGTAAGACAGTTAAACATTCAAATAGTTCCTTTTTGCAAAAAATATGCAAGGCTCCGTAGCTCAGAGGTACCGCCTCCGACTCGGAAACCGACGGCCGTGAGTTCGATCCTCGCGAAGCCAAGCGTGAGAGGTTCACGCGTAGGCGCCGTTGGCAATTTTTTCTTTCTTTCTTTCTTTTGTCGAATTTTCATCTTACCCTTATTTTCTTTTGTATTTCTGGAATAATGTCTAAATAAACACAAGACTAACGAGTTTGCAAATGCAAGGTAACCTTCGCAAATCTTCCGTTTAGACTGATATTTTTTTTATTGATTTCTATCCATAAATATGTAACCATTAGCACTGCCATCAAATTCTACCCCCCCCCCCACACACACACACACAAAAAGCAAGAAAGAGAAAGAGAGAGGGAGAAGAGACAGAGACAGAGAGACACAGATAGAGGAGAGAAACCGTTTGTTTCCCAAAATTTACCGGAATTTCGCAGCACCTTATATTACAAACAAGAACTAAGCCATGTGTACTCCTCTTGGGTGAGAGTAAGAGTGAAGATACCCTATTGGAAAATCTCGATCCGGATAGAAGAGGGTAAATGATAGTTGGAATATAAGAACACTCCATAGATATATCCCCAATTATATTTACCTGAAAACTCATAACCGGCAGCACTACGTAGTTTTCGAATCTATCAACGGGCCAATCTATAGCTGGCCAGAAGGTGTTGTTTTACCTTTCTGGGAAGAAAGAATCATCGGTTTTAAACAACAAGCGTGATCCCGTTGGCCAAACAGGAAGACTACATTGTATAACACAGGATGGCTATTTCACCAACTGCCTATTAAAAGGGAAAGAAATTCATACCATTAAATCTAGGGGGAGGAGGGAGAGAAAACTACAGTAATTCTCTCCGACTGTTTGATTACCCATTGATATAAATATGAGGGTATACAGACCGTTAGAATAGCAGTCTACCCTCATTTCAGACATATAGCACAGTGCGCAACAGTGCAATGGCTGGCCGATTATGGTGACGTTGACTGTCGGAATAAAACTGCTCAATTGAGACTTTCATTCCTAATAGAAGAGCGAGACGAAGATGAGATGAATATATTATTTGAGATTTATAATGGATTTGGCTGAGTTGGTGTTGACACGGACCGAAATCATAAAACAGTAAAGTTAGAAGAGAGACAGACAAATAGGCAGAGAGAGATGGGGGAGAGTTACAAGGGGAAGAAAAGCTGGTGCCGCTGTATGGTCTACTAATTGTTAATCTATGTAGCTAAATCAGAAATTATATATCGGTATACCGTTTTTTAGAGTTATTAACAGGTGAAACCAATCACAGCAAGCCTATCGAAAGAAGAAATACAAAAAGGAAATTACACAGCGCAATGCTTCGCACAGAGAAAGTACGACAGGTAAACATTCAAATAGTTTCCTCTTGCGCATCACTTGCAAGGCTCCGTAGCTCAGAGGTACCGCCTCCGACTCGGAAACCGGCGGCCGTGAGTTCGATCCTCGCGAAGCCAAGCGTGAGAGGTTCACGTGCAGGCGCCGTTGCAACATTTTTCTTTTTGTTTTCTTTTGTCAAAACTTCATCTTCCCCTATATTTGCATTTGTAGTTTTGGAATAATATTTAAATAAAGACTAACGAGTCTGCAAGGTAATCTTCGCAAAACTCCCTTTTAGATGGATAATTATTATTAATTTTTTCCCAATATTGTTTTAATCATTATCACTGCCATTAAATTCTACTCACATCATTATGCCCAATAGCATAATAGTCATGTCATTAAATGACTAGGCTTGTTTAGTAACATATATTTTTTTTCTCTTTCGTTAAAAATTATCAAAATTATCAATTGTCCTTTCTCCATTAAAGACACCTGTTCTTTTACAACGTTAATTTACAAATGGAGTGAATAAAAAAATCCACCTAATAGGCCAAACATCATTATAGCAACCTATTAAATCTGCAATCCAGTGGCATCTATATATAAGCATAATTATTTAACCATAATCATCCTTATCATCATTATCACCTTCATTGCATCATCATCTTCATCATCAAACATCACTATCATTGTCATTATTATCGTCCTTATATATATATTTTTTTATCTGAATCATCACCATCGCTATTATTTATTATTTTATGGTGACATCCTAGTTTTTACCCATCTCGGGCTCTCAAGAGCTTTCTACTTGGTCTTTTATTGTACTATTGATTTTTTTGTAGGTTTAGCGAAGTTTCCCATTTTTATAGCCGTTTTCTTGTTTTTTTTTTCGGTTTTATACAGTCATTATATTTGCTTCGTTCTTAAGACTCGAATGTCTATTTACTTGATTTTTTAATTTGCCTTGATTTAATAGATGTTATATTACATTTTCATTATTATCTCTAATCTTCACTCAGAAGGGGAACCTCCTTCGGCACTCGCAGGAAGTCCCATCATGTATCAGTATGATAATATTGAAACTTAACAGCGCCAGGCGCTTACATTACCGACGCCCTTAAGGCGAAGGCACGCAAATACACACACACACACACACACACACACACACACACACACACACACACACACACACACACACACACATATATATATTTATTCATATATATGGTATAAATAAGCACACACACACATATATATATACATATATAGATTAAGAGAGGGACGAGAGAGAAAGGATAGGAAGAGAGAGGCTCCATGAACTTCCGTGCGAGCATCCTTCCGAGCCGACGCGTGCAGAGGTCCTCGCGCCACGCGTCAGACAACATGACCAGACGGCCTTATGGTTGTGGGTTCAGTTACACCAGAGATTGCATCAGGAATTCTCCGGAGTTTAACCCAGAGAGGAATCGTTTACCATCGTGGAAGGCGGAGAGAGACAGCTACAAGACGTGGAGGCGGGGATCAACAGGAGCGGGAAATACCTTAATATGATTTGCTCTAATTAGTTAATAAAAGTTTCTCGTTTAAAGTCTGCGCGCGCGCGTGTGTGTGTGCGTGTGAATAATCGCACGCACACACCCTCTTTTGATGTTCTTGTCGACATAGCTTGCTAATTCCTCCCTAACAAAAGTAAACATACAAGTTTATTCTTCTCGTTAGCATGAATGTAAAATGCTCTTCCTTAAATGTTCTCGTCGGGGAAAGATGCCCCGTGGACGCGTGTAGTCCTTCAAGTTGTATTTCTCGATTAATTACGTTACAATTTTTCTGGGTTGTGCAGGCTGACAAACGAACTGTCGTAGTGAGTATTTCGCTTTAAAGGTATTTCGTATGACTTATTTCCGCGGTGATTCCATGCTGGAAACGGTTTAGACAAAGATTTGATATGAACGTGACATTCTCTTTATTTCCGAGTTCCATCGAAAATGTTAGTTCGAAGTTTCTTTTAACCTTCGATTCCACGGTAACTGTTTAAAAAATGCAATACTTACTGGTAATGTCAGTAATATTATCTGTAATATCATCTTTAAATGTGAATCTAAATAGGAGATAACGTCAAAGTGGAAGTTACTATTGGACATTAAAAGAAGAAAACAGCAACATGCAACTTGAAAGAAACCTGTTGGAAAGCTGTCCCGTGCCCCATGAACTCAAGTGTTAGGAATACAAACTGAATTTCACTCCCATCACACACGCGAAAGGAATTTCTGCTTTCCTGACAGCAATATAAAAATTCCACTGTACACAGACTAGAGTTATTGAAAGGTTAGACAACATTTTCGAAATCCTTATAGATTTCATCTTCAAGCCTTTCCTGACATAGTGGTTAATTCTTGTTATATAATATTTTCGCTGAATTTCATTTCATGAATGCGGATAGAGATTTTAGTTAAATGAGTTTAGATCATCTGAGAAAGTTGCTTGTGTATTACACAATAGTACATACCGTAAGAACTGTTGCCGTAATGAATATCATTCTTACCTTGAAGAAAATGATATCAAGTTAACATTTTATAAAGTATATAGAGTATATGTGCACACCCACTGACGCATGAACACACACACACACACATGAAAACTGATTTAAACGTTGGAGATTTATCACGTTCATCTTTATGTTTCGATATTGAAAGTCATCTGTAGCTTCCGACCGTGTTTATGAATCGATTTATTTAAACAACTAAAGGAAAACTTTACTTTACCGCGGCATTTATTTCTACGAATTTGATGTTGATTGAGGATCTTGGGTGTGATCAACAAGCGTATAGTCAGTATCGATTACAGAAAAAATCTTGCTCATGGTAATCTGTTATTTTTGTGCTGCTGAGGAAATGTAATTCACTATATGCCAAGATTCTTACGCAAAACTAAGAGGTATTCTCTCTCGCTTTCTTCCAGAGGAGGATTAACATTTACGTAAGTGACATCTTCTCGCAGTGCATTATTCACAGTGCCTCATTCCAGACACGAGAACGAACGGAAATCAAATTAAAAAGATAAAAATATTAGTAAAAGTGAACAAAACACAAACTCCGTAATGCGTATACAAAGCGAAAACGTTCATGATATGGTAGTGTTTCTCTTTACGTAAGAGTACATTCCGAGATTCTCACACAAAGCTAAGAACTAAATAGGAACTTTTTGACAAGTTAAAAAATTCGCTTTTTCACTCTCTTCCGGAGAATGACCATCGTTGTGATATATGATTTTACCTAATATGACCGAGTTCCTATCACAGTGCCTTATTAAGGTCCTCGTTCCCACCCCTCAGGGTCACGTGAAAGCTCCCTATATAACTTTCAGATCAGACAGAAACCCATTAGTTGTTTCCGAGATTTCAAGATGATTCACAAGTCCCATGCCACCGCCCAAAGGTCCTTCAGGTGCCACGTGTGCGGTAAAGTGTTCGGCCAAAAGGGCCATCTGCTGATTCACAACAATGTCCACGCGGAGGTGAGGCCCTTCGGATGCGACACCTGCGGCAGGCGCTTCACTCAGAAGGGGAACCTCCTTCGGCACTCGCTGTTGCACACCAACGAAAAGCCCTTCGGATGCGGCATCTGCAGGAAGTTCTTCGTGCAAAAGGCTCATTTGGTGAAGCACGTCGTGGTGCACAGGCAGAGGCTGGCTGCCCTTAGAAGGTGTCGGCGGAGGGAGGCGTCCGAGCGAGGGTCTTCCGCTGAGGCCCAGGAGACCTCCCTCAGGTGCAAGGTCTGCGGATTGCAGTTCAGGCGGATCTTCAAGCTGATGGAACACCTGAAGGCCCAGCATATTCTCGGAAGGAAAGGGAAATAGCGACAAAGTAGTACACTGACTGAAGTAAATTATATAATAAAATCCAAATATATATTTCGTTTTCGTAATAATACCTGATGTATGTTTTTTAAAGTATATTTTTACGTGTGTCATCAGTTGTTTCCGAGATTCCAAGGTGATTCACAAGTCCCATACTTGTGTCACGTGCGGTAAAATGTTCAAGCAAAAGGGTCATCTATTGATTCACACCAACGAAAAGCCCTTCGGATGTGACATCAGAATTAATGTGACACGTAGTATTGAAGACCGCTTCCTGGATACATACATTGTATTAGTATATTACAACGAGATTTGGCGTATATCCTTGAAGAAAAGTCCAAGGATAAGAGTTTTCCGCTCGCTGGCACCAACCTGCAACCTCGCTCATTAAGGTGTTTGTCTCCTTACGAATGTCTCCTTACTGTTCGGTGTTCCCACGGAGAATACATGCCTTGTTCTTAGGGAGACATCTGCCGCGAAGAAAGCTGCAGAATGAACGAAAAAAATATAATACTCTAAGCATTGCAATGGCCACATAACCTCACCAAGATACAGAAAGTTAGTGATTTCCTAAATAGTATTATATCCTGGAAAAAAATCGGTAGCAATTCGGTAGGTTCTTCACCCTGCTTTTTGAGTATCTAGTTTGGTCACATATTTTTACAATTCGTTCATTTCTAACTTGCACGAATGATATCCATGAATGATACATTTCTCTCATAAAAGGTATATGAGAACCTACAATTCTTCAAAACACTGGATATCAAAGCCGGCATAACACTCTATAAAATTCCTACATTTGTTTCATCACAAAACGCCTGAAAGCTATCTCTAGGTATTTGATTAGCATGAATTGTATCTAATAATCTATTCAACCAATTTACGCACCAATAACATTTTGTTTTATTCACATTACAGATGATCAATGCACATTTTCTTTATACACTTCAATTAAAATTCACGATTGACTGTGTTTATAAATGCATTATTCTTCACAATTATCATCACTAACAAAAAATTAACAGGCTATTTTGATGTGATGCTGAATATTTCATTTTAACTATCATTGCTGTTAAAAGTGTTATCAGTATTATCAACAATATTGTTATTATTATCAGTATTACTGTTATAATCGCTCTTGTTATCATCTCATGTAATACTATTTTAATTACATTTATTATCATTATCATTATCATCATTATTATTATTATTATTATTATTATTTGTAGTAGTAGTAATGTCATTATTATTAGTATCATCATTATTATCATCATCATTATTATTGTTATCATCATTATTATCATCATTGTTATTGTTATCATCACCATTATTATTATCATCCTTATTATTATTATTATCATCACCATCATTATCATTATTATTATTATTATCATTATTATGATTATTATTATCATTATTATTATTATTATTATTATCATTATCATTACTACCATCATTGTTATCATTACCATTATCATCATTATCATCATTATCATTATTCTTATGATTATCACCATTATTATCACAGTTATTATCATTATTATCACAGTTATTATCATTATTATCATTATTATTATTATCATCATTATTATCATTATTATCATTATTATCATTATTATCATTATCATTATTATCATTATTGTCATTATTGTCATTATTGTCATTATTGTCATTATCATTATTATCATTATTATCATTATTATCATTATTATCATTATTATCATTATTATCATTATTATCATTATTATCTTTATTATCATTATTATCATTATTATCATTATTATCACTATTATCATTATCATCATTATCATCATTATCATCATTATCATCATTATCATCATTATCATCATTATTATCATTATTATCATTATTATCATTATTATCATTATTATCATTATTATCATTATTATCATCATTATCATCATTATCATTATTATCATTATTATCATTATTATCATTATTATCATTATTATCATTATTATCATTATTATCATTATCATTATTATGTTCCTCGTTAGCACTGATTTAAAATGTTCTTTCTTTAGTGTTCTCACCAGGAAAAGACGCGCTTGTAGTTTAAAAAGAGCAATGCTGATGTAACTATGTCCCGTATTGCAATGCTTATCTTTGAAGTTGTTTTCAGCTTTATTACAGTACACTTAACGGGTCTTTACAGGCACACTGTAATGAGAATTATTTCCACGGCATTGTGAAACGCTATAGACGAAGATGTAACATAGCTCTGAGGACCTCTTTACTGCCGATTTTCTAGCGGAAATGTTCATTCGATAGGTGTAAATTATTATCCTTCGAGTCCATGATGATTATTAAAAAAGTACAATACCTACTGGTAATAGCAGTAATATTATAAATTATAGTATTTTTAAAAAGGCGAATACGCACGGGAGATATGGCAAAAGTTGGAGATACTATTAAACACACACAAAAAAAATCCAGTC